TGTCAAATCAATAAAAACATGATGTGGCAATCTCACATTTTGACTTTAATCATGGACATCATTATGCTGGGAGTAGTTTTTTTTATTTATTTTTTTATTAGATCAGGTGGAAAGATACAATAAACGATTTCATAGGATAGATTTTCATGTAGAATACATTCATGTGTTTGTCGCAACTGAAAGTTCTGACTAGTAGAACATTGTGCAACGTGACCAATGTTAACTGATGTAAGTGACTGTAAAACTGTCTGATATTCCAAGAATGCCATCGTTTAAATCCCATGTTCCACTTCAGATTTAGGTCGAATTATACTTCGAATATTTTTATCCAACTATGTCCAGCATGAGTTTTCAACCCTGTTCATCATGACCTGAAGTTTGATGTTTCCCTGATTCAACACAGGAGTGACCTACTGTTAAACTTGACAATCTGAATAGTGTAATTATTTCAATCTGATGTTTTAAGCAGTAAAATGGTTAAAACGTGTTTACAGACGGGACCAGTTAGACAAAGTGGCTGCAACTTGTTTCTAAGCAATTCAGTTGCTTAAATTAAACCTCAGTTGAATTTTTGTCTCATGAGAATGACTTTTATTAAACACTTATTGGCTTTTTGTTAAAATACACAGTTTTCAAGAGGGTATTTTCTTGGTCAATTCAGATAATCATGAGATTTCAACATGAAATCCAACACAACAGACTGTAATGCCACATAATGGTGTTATCAGAACTGCTTCTACTTGACTCCTAGCTCAAATCGAGAACAGTCAAACACTTGCTTTGCTTTTCTATTTAGTCGATTTACAAAAATGTAATCTTTGTCTTTGTGTCTAGACCAGATTAGAGAAGCTATATAAAGCCAGATATCTACTGTTTGGATGATGTTGCTCATTTAGAAGCCATCAGATCTTTTAAGTTTGAAGTTACATTGTTCACTGCCACCATACCGATGATCATTCAACACAATCCTGCCAAACCAAGCTCTCCCAGCTCAACGTGCCTGACTCCACCTGCAGATGGATCACTGACTTCCTGATGGATCGGAGGCAGTACGTGCAGCTAGGGAAAACTGTTTCAGAGACCCAGACCCTCAGTATTGGTTCACCACAGGGCTGTGTACTTTCTCACCTGATCTTCTCTCTGTACACCAACAGCTGCACCTCCAACCACCAGTCTGTGAAACTCAAGTTTGCAGACGACACCACACTCATTGGGCTCATCTCAGACAGAGATGAGTCTGCTTACAGGAGGGAAGTGGATCAGCTGGTGTCCTGGTGCAGCTCTAACAACCTGGTGATCAACGCACAGAAGACAGTGGAGTTAAGCGTGGACTTCAGGAAAGTTACAGCCCCTTTACCCCCTCTGGTTCTCAGCAACTACTCCATCCCGACTGTGGACACCTTCCACTTCTTGGGCACCACCATCACCCAGGACCTCAGTGGGGGAGCCGACCATCAGCTTCCTCACAAACTGCCAGAAGAGATGATAGTGTGGTTCTACACAGCCATCATTGATTCCATAACTGTACGGTACACTGGGGCCACAGGCAGAGACTACAGCGCATTGTGCGCACTGCCGAGAAGGTGATCAGCTGCAACCTCTGACCGGTGGAGGAGCTATACTCCTCCAGAACTCTAGGTGGTGCAGGCAGAATCACAGCTGACCCTTCTCATCCCGGTCAAAACCTTTTTCATCCCCTCCCCTCAGGCAAAAGACTACGGTCCATTCAGAATAGAACCTCCTGCCACAAGAACAGTTTTTTCCCGTCAGCCTTTAGACTATTGGACAATGCTTAATCGGCTGCTGGCTGCGCTTGAATTTTTGTTCTCATTCTTCGTTTTGTATTCTGACTTGTTTTCCTTCCTCACTTCAATGACTTAGCTTAAGTTCTCTTCCTCCTTGCTTTTGCGCACCATTACACCAGAGCAAATTCCTAGTCTGTAACTTGTTACAGACAATGACAATAAAGTGTTTCTGATTCTGATTCTGATAAAAACATCCCAACTACACTAATGGGACTTCAGTCTCTTCAAACACCCTGTGAAAACAATTCAGCACAACTTCCTCCTAAAGAATGTTTACTTCAATTAAATATGTTAACATGTTTTCCCTTCACAGTTGAGATCAGGACATCAAAACCAATGACTTCTATTAGAACTCAACTCTCATACCACGTTTAGCTAAAATTTGGTTGGCAAATTTCAGATTAACAAAACTTTATATTTGCTTTTCATGCACACAGCACAGATCCACACAAGTAAAACACAATAAACCCTCCATGCCTGCTTCAAGAACAAACAATCCCCCTACATAATTTAGATTTGACCCAGCGTGAGTCCACAGTTATTGCACTGGAAGGCATTCTAATAGCCCCCCTGTCCTCAGCTGAACTGTGGAGGAAACGTTTACACAGGAGAAGTATGAGCAGGGCAAATTAGAACAACTTCATTCAAAAAATGCTGCTCTAACACACGCCCACCGAGGTCTCCTGATATTCAAAGTGGTCTTTTTTATTTTTTTAAAGCGTACTGTCCTTAGCTCACCTCTGCTGCCTCAGAAGTTAGATTTGTAAAGGAGTACAATAATTTTTGTCTTTTTTAGGTCTTGATTTTTTAAACAAACCTTAAACAAATTAAACTTGTCATGATTTGGGGTTTTTATGTATGTTGATTATTGATCTTATGACCTAGGATTGTTGGTCTCTGTGATGGTGCCATAGGGGTCCCTGTGGCCCTTTTCCATTAGCACCCCCACAGCACTGTTCAAATTGGATGAACCCTGTTCAGCATGGTTCAGGTTGTTTTCTGTTACACTTCAGTAACAAATCTAGTGGGTGGGTTCATCCTACATTTGGGTGGTCTCAGAGTTCAAAAATGCATGTTGCAAATCTTACCAGTTAGTGGTGGTTATGCTCCATTAAGATATTTACCAGCCAACATTAAACATTGTACAAAAATAAGACCCCAAAAATTTACACAACACAACACTGGAGGACATAGTAGCGTTGTTATTGCAATTGGTGGATCAGGTTGTTGTGAGTGTAGCTCGTGACACAACCAGTGACTCCATCCCCCATTAACCAATCAGCGACCAACAGTCTTATGATGAGTTTTCAGGCCAGCATGGTACATTTGGAACCACTTTGAAGTAGGTTCTGAAAATGGAGCTGGTTCCATGAATCCTTGCTAGTGGAAAAGCCTTGGAACCATGGAGAGCCAAGTCGAATTGTGCTATAGAGGCACTAGTAGAAAAGGGGCATTAGCATTTACATACACAGCAGACTTTCAGAGTGTCCTTTATCACTTAGCCTTGGCTGCAAGTCACCAGTTTCTAAATTGGTCATGATTTTCAGTTTCAGGGCAGGTCATATTTTCAGTGGAGGTTAGATGGTGAGGATGATGATATATCCCCGCCCCTGACCTGTCATCCTGATAGATTGTAAAAGTGGCTGATAACAAACCCTACCAGAGAGGGGCTGGATTGAGGCCTTTATCATGACAGAGTGATAGAGGCCAGGGTCTACCACACCAGACAGGACCCAAAATGCAGACAGGCAAAACGTCCATGGAATGTCATAACTTAGTGGCTGGTACCGCTACAGGAACATCTCTGTCAAGTGAAGACTGGAGGCCCCACAGTCAAAGTTGGAGACTCCACCTAGAGTGGTATAGAATGACAGGGCTAAGATACTACGAGACGTCCAAATCCAGACAGACAAACAGGTGATGGTTAACCAACTGGACAGTGTGGTGGTCGACAAGCTACAGAAGAAGGCAGTGGAGACAGATATAGAGAGACCAAATAACATCAGGAAGAAGGAGAAAGAGAGACTTAAGTTGTGATGCCTGGATTCTGTAACCCTCAGACTGGAAGAGTGGCTCCAACTGATCTCAGGACCAACCTCAGGGATCTCTGTCCAGAAACGTTCCCTCAGCACGAAAAACATCTAAGATTCTACGCAAACCTTTAAACTCACACAAGTTTGAAGTGGGTGGAACCACCCAAGTAGGAAAAAAGTGCATGCTGTGTAATTTTTTTCTAGTTTATGAAAGAAAAAAATAATACATTTCAGCTTTTGATTACTCAATATTAGTACATTTCTAATTTTAAATGCCATTGTTATTATTTTATAATCACTGAAAATTACTGTTACTTCAAATTAATAGATAATATGAGATAATAATAGATAAGATATATAAAATGTAAAAAATGTCACTAACGCATTTTCATCAATATTTCCGAGTGAAAAATTCTAGTTAGAAAAAATTTCTACCAATGTTACCGGTTGCTTTTGTATCAGGATGATGACGTCCTAACAAGAGCATCAATTTCAAAGGCTGTGCTCCATTCTGAAATACTTAAATATAAACTTCAACATTTAACCACAGCATTTACTATTTAAATTTTACATTTAGATTTAGGATGTAACATTTAGACATAGCATTTAACATTTAGTAAAAAAAATAGCTAAATGTAAAAACAGTGGGCTAAATAACAACAAAGTTAAAATTTTTAACTATTCTAGGATCTTATGCTTAGAAATTGAACTAAATAATGACAACAACATTTTATTCTACACTCGATGCCCCGTAAAAAAATGAAATAAGTATGATTGATTGAACACACTGATTTTCTAACATGTTAAACTTTGTCATCCTAAAGACAAATATTTTATTTTATATACTGTGGTTCATTTCAACTTAAGTCTTGATCTGACAGAGTTGCTTTCATAAATCGTGTAGCTTTAGTTAAAAAAAGAAACAGGACTTTTCATAACATGACAACATAACTTTAAGCCAACATATGTTTTATAAAAATTGCGTGAAAACCTTTTGTGATTCTAAACTTAGATGCTAATTTTGTCTGTGTGTCAAATGGACGTCTCACTTTCATTTTTTATGCTTTCCTGACTTTTCCTCCTTTCTCTGTGTCCTGACGCCTCTGGAGACCATAAAGGGTTAAACGGGGTTAAAGGAATCCATTCTGCACTCAGGTACCCCCACCTCCCAGCCCCTCCAACATGAGTTGAGCGCTGGCTTATTAAAAACCTCCTTCCAGCATCGGTGGAGCAACCCCCTAATTTTCATCTTGTGAGTTCCTTTTGGAGTCATGTCTGCAGGTCAGGAGTTGTAAAAACAAGAGCATCATTGCTGCAGCTGGATTTATCAGCTGACACACACATCAGTCCTGCTGCTGTTTTTAAAGAATCCCTTTGCAGCTGGATCCCAGACACAGCTTTATCTTCAACCTTAACTCCAGAACATGTGGTGGATGCTGCTCTCAAAGTGGATTTGCCTCCTGGCAGGAGCGTCAGCGTGGATGGAGCTCGGTGGGACAGTTTCATCCCACATCACCTACTCCCACGCGGGCATCTGCCCAAATGACTTGAACCCCAACATGTGGGTGGACGCCATGAGCACCTGCACACGAGAATGTCAGTCTGATCAGGTATGTTTTTTTTTTTAATTTAGACCCTGAATTAGTTTGAACCGGTTTCAGAGTTTGTGCAGCAATTCTACATGTTTGTAAATCACTCTTTACAGTGGGTTGCAAGTATTCACTCCCATTGGAGCAGTATTTTTGTACTTTGTTATCTTAAAATCTGGACTTTGAATTAACTTTTAATCTGGTTATATGTATGGACCAAACAAATTACTGCAGATCAATTAAATTAAAAAAGGTGGGCGTGTTCATTAATTAATTTAAAAATGGATAGACTGTAAATTAGTGTTTGTGCAGTACCCTCATCAGGTTTATTATCCTGCTGGAAGGTGAATCTACATCACAGTTTTCATATTTCTGAAAGACACAAACAAGTTTCTTTATTTATTTTGCTCCATCTATTCTTTCTTTAGCTCTGACCAGTTGCCCAGTCCTTGCCATTAAAAATTTGCCCACACCATAATGCTGCCACCATCTTGCTTCATTGTGGGGATGGAGTTCTTCCCATGACAGAGCTAAGGGCTGCGTCACATGACAAGATAATAGTGCTGATTTTTGCCCTTCCGACAATCTTAAGAACATCCAGATTATTGTGATGGCTCTAAAGATAATCTGAGCAGATATTCCTGCCATGGGTGGAGAGTTAAGCGTGATCTAGTCGGCTCAGAAGGACGTCAGGACCGCTCCTACCTCAAAAGGGGAATGTGTAACATGTTTGATTTCTTTGGCCTGATATCACAGCGTGTAGTGTTAACCGAGAGCAAACGTGCTCGCAGCCTGTTGAATTGAGAGGGTTCCAGCTGCGGACCGCAGAATGGGCCGGGGTCGGATAATAGGTGGGGTCAGATGTCTGACCCTGCCCTCAACTCTAAAATTAACCAACCCCAGATTCTAAATTCTAAAGTTAACCACTCCCGATTTTTCAAACTTCATATCGCCACGTTCCCGTTAAGCTGTGACTACGCCCACTGGACGTCCAACCCCGTCTACTGTACGACCCCGGCCCATTCTGCGGTCCACAGCCGGGGGTACTTGGTTGAATGGGTCGCGCAGCAAATCAGAAAGCGAGGTTACGAAAACACAAAGGGGAAACCAAAATACAGAAAACATAAAAAACTGTCTTGACTGACTAGAAAATGTGCCGGCTGTTAAAAGTTCTATGGAATAGATAAAAATAGTCCACAAATGATSAATATAGTTCCTTACTCGTTGCAAATGTTTATTTATTCTGAAATCACCTCTCTCTCTCTCTGGAGATCACGCAAGGTTTTTTCTCCGAAATCTGAATTCTTGCGTGGTTTCAAGAAGTCTCGCGGGATTTCACATCTGTTATCTGAACGTTCATGAATAAAATATCTGTTCGGTTTTGTTTTGTGTTTTCTCTTGCCATTTGGCTGTACACTACACACTGTAGGACCAAACCTGGTATATCCGTGATTTTTTTTATCCTCACGTGTGGTGTCTCTCAGTCTGTGAAAATTGTCCGCCTTTTTTTAAAATCTTGCAGTGTGACGCAGCCTTAGGATTTGTCCTCAATGGCCAAAAACTTCTATTTTTGTATAATCTGGTGACAAGACTTTCTTCCACACATTTGTTCAAACTCCAAACAGTCAACCTTATTCTTATTGTTAGCTATGCAAAGGCAGAGAGAATGATTGTTTTTTATTTGTGGCTAACATGTTCAAGAAGTGAAACCCCCAAACCCCCTGGATAAATTGTGATGACATTTTTAAAAGTAATAACTGGATGTAGCTTGATTTGGTCTGGTTGTTGCACAGTGAATTCTACCCAACACTTACTCCATGTGCTGCACATTGCACTAAACTTGATTACCCAAGCTTATTGTCAACTTTGTCTATCTGTTATCAAAATATTTCAAGAACTATTGAACAGATTTTTTTGAACCTTTTAAAACATAATAAGTGTACATTAACAACAATCTTTTAGTCAATTCACGATAGCTACCACAGCTAAATGACAATAGCCAATACAAAAATCGCTATAATGTTGTAAAATTTAACAATACTGAGGCAATGGAAGTGTATGGGATCTCTTTAGATTTCCATCCATTTATTATCTTTACCCGTTTCTTCCAGGTTATGGGGGTCCAGCAGTGCAAGGGGCGGGGTACACCCTGGACAGGACAGAAGTTCATCACAGGGACACTTAGAGACAATCATTCACTCTCCCACTCACACCTAGGGACAATTTAGAGTTGCCAATTATCCTAGCAGTTGTGTTTTTGGTTTGTGAGAGGAAACAGGAGAATCTGGAGAAAATCAATGCAATCACAAATAGAACATACATCTTTCAGACAGAAAGACCCCAGTTCTGATCCTGAGATCTAACCCTGAACCTTTTTAATGTGAACCACTGATCCTCCTTCATTCTATATGAGTTTACATGCACACCACTTCTGTTTATATTTAGAATGATTTAAAAACAAGTTTGTCTCCATTTAATATTATTATTCTAAACTAATGCTTTTAATTTAAAAAAAATTCTGTGAAATTCAAGGTTGTAAAGCAACGAAATCAAGTCCAAAGGGGGTGAATATGTTTGCAACTTGCATACAACATTCTGCATCAGGGATTTTTCTCTTCATTTCTTACAGGAGTGTGAATCCTTTGAAAAGTGCTGCCAAAACGTCTGCGGGAACCGCAGTTGTGTCGCTGCCCGTTACATGGATGAGAAGAAAGGCCCCGTGGGAATGCCCAAGAAAGCCTCCTGTGCCAGCTTTATGTGCACGCAGCAGGGGTCTGAGTGTGTCATCTGGAACAGTCACCCAGTGTGTAAATGTCGGGACCGCTGTGAGGGGGAGCCACACTTCACCTGCGCCTCAGACGGCATGACTTACTACAACAAGTGCTACATGGATGCTGAGGCGTGCTCTAAAGGCATCGTGCTGTCTGTTGTAAAGTGTCCTTACCGCCCCACCGAGCCAACCACTCTGCACCCAACCACGGTTCCCATTCAGCTCACCATCCCACCCCCGACAGAACCTCAGCCCCCTGTCATGGTCAGCGGCCCCTCTCACCAGACTGTAAATGCGGGTAACACTGCCAGCTTCCTGTGTGACGTTATGGGTCGACCCCATCCTGAGATAACCTGGGAGAAGCAGCTGCCTGGTGGGGTAGAGAGGGTAGTCGTGAGGCCCAATCAAGTGCAAGGGAACATGGTGGTCACAAATATTGGTCAGCTGGTCATCTACAACGCCCAGCCAAAAGATTCAGGCATTTACACCTGCACTGCTCAGAATCCGTCTGGCTCAGTGACAGCTCACTACCCTCTCACTGTGCTGCAAACAGAGTTGGTTGACACTTCTGGGCCTAAAAACCTGACCCTTTGCTCACCTGAAGAATGTATCAAACTCTTGGATAGCCCAGAGGATTGTGGGAGTGATCTGGAGAAAGTTAGTTGGTACTTTGAATCCAAAATCAACAACTGCTTAGCCTTAAACCACTGCCATAGCAGCTTCAATAACCAGCCACCTGCAAAGGTCTTTGACACATATGAGGATTGCAAACAGTGCTGTGGTCCAGATCTGTCAGGCCCTTGTGGGCTCCCTGCCTTGCAAGGTCCCTGTAAGGTGTATGAGCCTCGGTGGGCATACAGCAGCACTTCCCAGGCGTGTCAGACTTTCATTTATGGAGGCTGCGAGGGCAATGACAACAACTTTAACTCCAAAGAAACCTGTGAGGAGATGTGCCCCTTCCCAAAGAATCACCCGTGCAAAGCCTGCAAGCCAAGAGGCAAGATGGTGACGAGCTTCTGCCAGAGTGACTTTGTCATCCTGGGCCACATGTCAGAGCTCACGAAGGAGGGGGACTCGGGGCACGCCCTTGTGACTGTAGAAGAGATCCTCAAAGATGAGAAGATGGGTCTGCGCTTCTTTGGAAAGGATCCTCTAGAGGTCACGTTTCTCAACATGGATTGGAGCTGCCCGTGTCCGAACATCACCAGCGCAGCTGCGGAGGGTCAGGTCATCATTATGGGCTACGCCAACAACGGCATGGCTGTCCTTCAGCCTGAGAGCTATGTGGGTACTTCCAGTCCTCGACGGGTACGAAAACTGAAAGAGCTCATTTCTAAGAACACCTGTGACCTTCTGAAAATGATCACCAACAGCCAACAGTAGGGTTTAGGGTCGGAAACTATAGATGTGACAGTGCAATGATCCTCATCGGTATATCAATTAAATGGTTAATGATTCAATTACTTAATGCGGAAACTAAAACATTGATCCACATCGTCATCATATGCCCAATGTCATTTAATTTCATATGCACATCTAACACAATCATTTGTCTTAGATGTGCATACAATATCGGTTGTATCTATCAGACTTGGGAATTGAATTGAATCAAAATCTTATCATGACAGACTTACTCACTGCAGTAATGCTTTGAGCTTTCAGTTACTGAGAGCCAGTGGATAAGCAATGAAGCACCCTTATTACTATTTTGTTTACAATTATTTATGCAGATAAAAAAGTGCATTTTACATGTCAAAACACTAAAACATGTGGATCGATTAGTAATAGTGTGTCATGTCTTTAAAAAGTACATTTTGTTGAATAGTATGAAAAGTTTCCCCTGATAAAATTTTTTGATGAATCATGTCACAGAAAGTTGGACTTTTCATAACAAAACAGACATTTTGACATATTTACATTTTTTTTACATGATTGCAGTATATTTTATAATCTTTGGAGAATTTCCATGAAATGTTCAACTGACAAATGATGGCATCCTACACCAATTGAAACCCTGCCTAGAATTTTCTAATCATTTGCAAACAAATCTTTTTACCCCCACAACTTAGTGAGGACTACAGTTTATACATCAAAGTGTAGGTTTTTCATCTCTTACACTGTGTCAGGACTTACTATTTTACATTAAGCATTGAGGAAACATAAAATTAATGTGTGACCATCTGTCTTCTGCTGCTTACAGTTCAAGAATGTTTTTGACTTACAGTTTTTGTACAGTGACTGTTTGTTTGAGGCTTACTTTGTAGCTCGTGTTTCTGCCTGTCGTACAAGAGACTGAGATGATGGTGTATGGTTTTCATGGTGATGCTAATTAACCTCTATTAAACTTTTTCCTATGATTTTTTATTAAATTTTTCAGTAAATGGTAATGGTAAATGGACTGTACTTATATAGCACCTTTCTACCTAACCAAGATACTCAGTACTTTACACTACAATCTGTGCCCTCATTTACCCATTCACACAGCACTCTTTTAGATATCCTACAAAGCTAGTACAGATGTATACATTCAGACTAATCAATGTTTTTAAATCACACTCATATACTGATGGAACACACATCAGAGGCAGTGAGGGACCCCCACTGGGGGTTCAGTGTCTTGCCTAGAGACACTTCGACATTTGACAGAATAGCGGGGAATCTAACCGCCAACTTTCTGAGCAGAGGATGAGCCCCTTAATCATTCAGCCACAGATGTTTACTTTACCAGCCACCTAGTTATGGTTCATATCAAATATATCAGATTAGATTAGATCAGATTAGATAGATTAGATTAGATTAGATTAGATTGATTTGATTAGATTAGATTAGATTAGATAGATTAGATTAGACTAGATTAGAACTTTATTGTCATTGTACAGAGCACAATGAAATTACAGTTTAGAACACCCATTCAGAAGAAGACAGAACAAACATAGGAGACCAGCCACAGACCCTGCACAGAGCAGGGATCATCATCATGAAGACATCATGAAGGAGGCGCAACCCTTAAAAGAAAAAAACTAAAAACCACACAAGGACAGATGAGGAAAAAATCATATTATATCAACAATGTGACATACTATGGTGTTTTTTTTTATTAAAAAGTCGACGTAAATATCCAGGAAGAATTTAGTCCAACAGCTCAAGGCCATGTAGGGGAGAGCCAAATCTGTAATCAGTTGTTTGGGAACAGAAGAGCCAAGCAGACAATGGCTGTGTCCAAAACGGCAGGACGGGTCCTCCGAAGGTCGAATTTGTCGGCCGCATACGTCACAGCGCCGCGACGAAGGACGTCCAAAACGGAAGACTCCTACGATGCGTCCGACAAATACGTCCTTCTTTTTCCCCGAATCGAAGGACAGGTCCGATGGATCCTTCCCGGCCCAGCATATCCCAGAATGCATTGCGGCCCGACCGGAGATTTTTTTAAGCTAGTAATGGCGGACGAAGCGAGAGAAAAGAATACGTTTTAAATAAAAATATGGTGATTTAAAAATTAAAAAAAATTAGCGGTTGTAATTCTAATACTTTTATCATTTGTATGGACATGTTTTTAAATATTATTTTTTCGTCATAAAAAACGCGAAATAAACATGAACCTACAGCAGGTCAATTAGTTCTTCAAATGATACCTTTAAGTTAATTTTATAGTTTTGTGATATTAATAATGCTAATGTGTTGATATTTTTCTAGTTTTGATTTAAGTTTGCTTGTTTAGCGTCGTCACAGTTGCTAGGTGACAAGACGTACGCCGGGGTAAGGAGGGGAGGCTAGACCGTCCAAATCCACAGCCTCTTTTTTTCCGGTCTTCCCGGTCTACCAAGGACCCGGCCCTCCGAGACCGGGGAGTCTGGGTCCTCCGGAGGACCCGTCCTGTCGTTTTGGACACAGCCAATAACAATTTTCCATCAGCCTTAATGTCCGCTGGTACAACTCACTGTGGTTAGGTTAGGTTAGGTTAGGTTAGGTTAGGTTAGGTTAGGTTAGGTTAGGTTAGGTTAGGTTAGGTTAGGTTAGAATCCAATCAGACAAATTATGTGGACAAACTCCGCCGAGCCGGGCTATCAGCTTTCATGATGTCTGTCTGATTTTTAAAGTTTTGAATGGGCTTGCCCCACCACCATTAGTTGATTTTATTCAGAAAAGGGATAACAAAATAAAAACTAGAGTACAAACTAGAGGAGACTGCAACATACTGAGGCACAGAACGCAGTTTAGCCAGAAGCTAGCTAGCATCTGTCAGAGATGAAACAGACTACCAGCATTTATCACAGGCAGTGAAAACTATCCAATTTTAAAAAGAAACTTAAGCATTGGTTGAATGCAAACCAGTTATGTAACCATTCATAATGTCTTCCATTGCTTATTGTTGAGGGTCTTTTATCTTGTCTTTAGAGTGGTTTTATCTGTAAGTTCTTTTTTTTGTCTTGCAAATTGTACAGTGAGGTGTTTTGTCTTTTGTGCTTACTTGTCTAGGACAAAGGATGAAATTTAGCTATTGTGCTAATTCCTGCATATTTACACTGCCATGAATTGTGGTAATGCTTATAATGAGCATTGTCCTGATCACAAAAATATAATAAATGAATAGCATTATACATGTTGTTGCTATTATTTCTGTTATAATTTTTGTTGTTGCTCTACCTAATGTTCTATTCATATTTTAAACTGTTGAATTTTTATTTTTTACATTTGAAATATCTGTGCTTTTAAAAAAACATTTAACACATTTTCTTTTTCAACACCTTATAACACAACTACCCCTTCCCTTATTTTTTTATGTTACGTTCACACTGCAGCAACTGTGGCCCAAATCCAAAAGAACCCAAAACTGTTTTTTTAAACTCATTTTGTTCGTGAAGACCTTTTACAGGTCTATTCCCACTGCTCCTTGACTGATTTGTACATTCATTCTGCATTTTACACTGTGCAGTTTCTTAAACATGCCGTGTAATATTGATTCAAAGAAATGAGTTGTAATATATCTTTTTTTTTTTTTTAAAACACAACAGTTTTATAACCTGTTATGCACTGTTATCAACTTGTTTCTGGGCTATTTATTACCACAGAGGCTTTTCATTGGTTGTTTATTTGTACCTGAAATTATCTTATGAACTGATTTTTATATGCTAAAGAAAATAAACATTTAGATTTTTTTGTACAAGGCTTCTTTTCTCCTGCTTGTTTTTACTGGATTGGAATATGAATATAAGGTAAACTGAAGCATGTTCATGGGTGACGTACACACTGACTTATTAAATAACCCGGTGCCTTTGGACCTGTTAGTGAACAGAGAGGCTCCTCTGACAGGCTGTGATAAAAGAGGTTTGGGAATAGTACATTCCTAGCTCCCCCTGCATCGCCCCTTGCAAGCCTTGAAAAAACTTCAAAACAGATCCATCCATCCCAGAGACCCCTGTGACGTTGTTAAAACTTCACCCTGTTTTGCTTTTGCCTCCCAGGTCCAGTCTAAATGAGGTAAGGAGCCCAAGCTGTAAACCTCAGATCCACTCAGTTATGTCTTTCATGCGGTGCCAGCAGGCTCCTCTGGTTTACTGGGAACAAGCCTTGGTGGGCTTCAACGAGGGTGTTCCACTTCCCGGACGAGATTCTGTTTCTCCCATCCAGAGTGGTGGCGGAGGCAGGGCATCAGCACGAACGCAGATCCTTTACTGGCAAAAAACCCACCGGAGGACCTCAGAGCTGCACTCCAGCAGCTGTTGAGCCCCTGGATCTGAGAGCTCTCTGATCTGCAGCCCTTTGGATCAAATCAGAGTCGCCTAAATCATTTCATCAACACAAAACCTACATCTGCTTTGGTTTTCTTGGCTTACTAGTCAGTTTACTGCTTTCCTAACTTTCACATTTGTAATTATAAAATGACACACACACACACACACACACACACACACACACACACACACACACACACACACA